TTCATTACAAATGTGGCACCATTCATAAGAAAATGCACAGGACGACAAGCAGTATCTTTTTTGTTGTTGTTGTTTGTTTTTTAAAAAGACCAACCGCAAATTTTCTTATTAGTTGTGACAAGTATATAATTTATAAAGGATTTATATTGGAGATCTGCAGAAAAATAGTCTGGTGACTGGAATCTGTCAATTTCAGCTTTAATGAGGCCAGAACACAGACCAGCAAGTCCCAAACAACCAAATTAGTTGCTTTTCTGGTCAATTAATGTGCTATATTAATATCTACCAGGATGTGTTGGCAACAGCACTCTTCAGAGAGGATGTGGTTACTGGTTTAAGTTATTTCAGTATCACTGAAGTGTTAAAAAATAATAACTTGTTTTTATACTTTCTGATTCTATGATGTCAGGGTTTGAAAACCAAACACAAATTCCTTGATGGAGCAAATGATCTTGGCCAAGACATTGTTTTTAAAAATGTTTAAAAATGAAAAAAAAATGATAGGAAGGCTGGAAACTACAGAGTTGCTCTACTTTATCCTTTTGAACTTGTAACCCTTCACTGTTATGAAACATGGTAACTATGGCAATGCCAGCAACCTTTTACAAATTTTGCAGTTAATGTACATGTCTATCTTCACCAGGAAACACGCAGAAACTGAATGCTTTGTAATGCTAGCTGCACTAATCATGGTAATCATGCTAATTGCCAATAGGATGCTGAGTAAAAAATTAAGATGGCAACTTTGTAATTACTGAAAAATTATTAAAACACTGTTTTACTGTGAATGAGCTTTCACATATTGGTGTTTTTTTTTTGGTAACACTTTATTTGAAGGGGGTTGAATAAGACTGTCATGAATATTTATGACTGTTGTCATAAAGCGTCATTCGGTAAATTATGACACTTTTAACACAAAATTGACATTATTCAAAATGTCTTTGTTATGACAACTTGACATTAACCAAGAAATCATTAGTTTAAACTTTACCTTTAATAACATAAAGTTACCTAATTTTTAAAGTGCAATCAGTAATACTTTTATAACAAATTTATATCAGTAATGATTTCTTGGTTAATGTCAAAGATCGG